AAAGATATCCAAGTGAATTATTGCTTCCATTCGTGAGCCATTAACCATCACAGAAGTCTTTGTCATGGTGCCTGTTGCGAGCTAAACCCCCACAATGCTGTCTGCTTGTGATGATCCAAGTGACTCCACCTGGTGGAACAACCAGGTACTACAGCTGATCTACAACATGTTTTCTAACATGGATGTCCTTCATCTGCTGCCTTATCGATGGACATATTTTTAATTGGTGAATTTTTAGTGTTTTTGTGCCATATTTATGTGATTAACAGTTATTCATGAATAAGCTGAACGACGTGTACAAAGGGTTCTACATTGTTCATGTAACACAGATAATTGAGGTTAAAGCAGAAATTCAAATCTTCCCAGCCGTGGTTTCATTGCAGCTCCGTTATGCTCCTTATAAGCTCAGTGACCTTCAGAGTTACAGCAAGCAGGACAAACTCTGAGATCTTAAGATGTTTATGTGGCACCAGTGTGAGGGATTTCGCTCTGAGTGAAAAGCGACGACAGATTGGCTGCTGTTGGACCTGCAGAGGAAAACACTGACCCCTTGTGTGTTCAGCGTCCACCTGAAACTTCACCCTGTCGAAGGAAACTGCCACATTAATGAAAAGGGTTGCAAGAAAATGACTTTAATATATGTGTCTCAATGTGCCTTACGTAAGTGTGAGGTTTGCAGAACAACATGCATTAGAGATGGAAAACAGTTCAGTCACCGCTGACCTGCTTTCCTTTTTCTCAGCCTGTGAAGCGCTTTGAGTGGCTCCGGTTTGCTGTTAATGTCCGTAACAGCTCTAAAAGCACCAATTAGCTCGTATTATGTTAGTTATGTCACATCCGCCAACGCTTTTATATTTTGCCTTTTTCACATTTTCCCGCTGCCCCTCTGCTATTAGAGTTCAAATCCTCTCCATTTACGTCGGATGGAGCAGTCGTATTTCGGAGCTCAAACGAGAGCGATTAAAAAGGCAGAGACGGTATAAATAGTGTGACTGCGTGCTGTAGATGCAGCCGTGGGTGTGGAGGCCTGAGTGGACGTGGCTTCTCTTGGATGAGAGCGGCAGGAAGCGTGGGGAGTAAACAAAAGCTCTGTTCCACATCAGCGCTCGCAGATTGAAATATCAGCGGCCGTGCGACCTCACAACAGCCCTCCGCGGATGAATCACCTCGTGGAACAATTTTAAATTACAATAGACACAGGGGTGTGACTCCCAGAGGTGAGGTGGAAGATGGTAAGCATGACATGAACACTGTGGCTCCACTATAAAAGTGTCCTTTTCAAACTTGCTAAAATGCAGCTGAGGCCGAGCCAAAGTCCGGGTTTGGAAAGACTGCTCGTCCTCTGAAACGCTTGTTGATTGTTGTTCTTTATTTAGTTACTGTGATGATTTTCTTTCCGTCTAAGCCGTTGATCTTGGTGCTTTGGACACCACTGATCCGGTTTCCACAAAGTGTTTTAAAGCTTCACACCCTGCCTCCTTACAAATCTTTAGTCGCGTCAAGATCTGACACTGAGAAAGCAAAACAACCTGAGTTGGACAGAAACCACCTCAAAGAACGGCAAAAACAACCACAAAGAAATGCAAAACTACCGTAAAAAGATGCAAAATGAAATGCAAAATTAGATTCCACAAAAAAACATAAAACTGCCAAAAAGAGACGCACAACAACCTGAATTAGATGCAAAGTTGTCATCGACATAAAACTGCCAAAAACAGATATAAAACCCTCACAAAGGAACGTAAAACCACCAGAGACATGCAAAACTACCAACATTAGATTCAAAACCACCTCACAGAGACACAAAACCACTACAAAGACGTACAAAAGAACCACAGAGAGACAGAACACCACCACTAGGAAACACAAAACTATTAAGAGACAGTAAACTTCAACAAAGAACACAAAATCACCAAATCTAGATGTAAAAACACAAAAACGCCAAACCACCACAGCGACACAAAACGACCAACCAGAGATGAAAAACCACCACAGAAAAGCATAAACTAACCACAAAAAGAGGCAAAATTACCAAAACTACATTCAAAACCCCCACAAGGAGACACAAAACCATAAATCGACATAAAAAAAACCCAAAACAAACACCACAGATGCTTGTCTTAATGGTTGCCACAATGGAAACCGGAATGAAAAGTTGGCCTTCGTTGAGATGTGGAAGATGTGTCCTTTAGAAACATGAATCACTTTCAGACGGTACGTTTATACTGACAAACATTTTTGTTATTCATCCATTAGTTGTTTGCTCTGTAAATTGTCAGAAAAGCCCACAATGACAAAATGTCTTGTTTTGTCCACAATCCAAAAACATTCAGAGGAAGAAAGAAACCAGAAAGTATTTGGTATAAACTCTTCAGAGTCAGATCTGACCAGATGGAGTTCTGCGGTCTAATTAAAGTCTGTCTGTTTGGGGTCTTCGACACGAAGCCCTGCAAGATCTTCTGTCCTCCAACAGTGAGATTTGAGAGAACAAAGTGTCCAGAAGAACGTCTGCATCGAAATTCAATGCTGAGCAAATTTACAAACTAAACCAGCCACTTTCAGCGTGTGGCGGTTCAGTGAACACTCATTTCTTGAGTTTGTTTTCTGCTGTTTGGAAACCAATCAATACTCCCTTAATACTTTGTGGAAAAACACACTTGTGGTTATTTCTGCTGCGGTAGAAGTTGGATATTTGGTCATGGGGAGGATCTACCCTACAGTGGCCTGTTTAAGCATCGATGTTGGGTTCATTTTGCAGACCCAGCGGATGCTGCTTCATTTAAATCTAAGTAATCATTGGTTTCCTTACTATGGACTGAACACAGAAGGAGGAGGTCGGGGTGGATGGATGGGTCAACAGACGCACCAGGTTGTTGTTCAGACGTCTCAGGGCCACAGATTGTCGTACGAGACTTATATAATGATGCATCCTCCGTATAGCTGTCCTACCAGGCTGTAAACATGTTTATTTCTACTGTTAAGTTAGACATTTTATCATCGGGGTCGATGGGGAATAACTGACTCTTTTCCAATAGCTGTGAGGTTTCGTTCCTGTAGAGGGTCCACAGAAGGTGGAGGGTTAGATTGTATTTATGATCAAGACTGATATTGTGAATCAGTAAAAGTGGAAGGTGTGCATCTTTTTAAAATGACTCCCATAGTTGTCTGTAGTTGTAGAAATCATGACTTGTGTCATCCTGTTGGAGTTTGGTTTTTACTGTAGAAGGACCATAGAAGGAGGAGGTCGGGGTGGGTTGATGGGTCAACAGACACTGAACCAGACTGTTTTTGTGACCGTATGTAAAAATCGATTAACCCTTAGTGATACCACCTATCACCTAGACATCTCAGGGCCACAGATTGTCCTACTAGAGTTATTTAAAAACACACCCTCCTCATAGCTGTCCTACCAGCTGTAAACGTGTATTTCTACTGTTAAGTTTGACATCTTAGCATCGGGGTCTATGGGGAATAACTGAGTTTTTTCCAATAGAAGGAGGTTTTGTTCCTGTAGAGGGTCCACAGAAGGCAGAGACTGGGGTGGATGGATGGGTCAACACATGATGGACTATTTTCACTGAAGTCGGCCGATTTTACATCTAAACCGAACCATATCATATCAGAAAGAGATAAATCCTGCTTAAAGGGACATCACATGATACAACTTTTGCACTTGATGGCTTTGACGAATTACACGTTTTTACTGAATTTTGAGCAAATGTTTCCTGAAACCTACAACCCACAACAGTAGAGTGTCAGGGAGAAGGACTAGCTGAAGTATTTGATTCATTTAAACAAAGTAAGTCATCATATGTCCTGTTTTCTGTCTTTTCCCCAGTAACTCTGCTTCTCTCACCACATCACCACTGTGAATATTTTCTCTGCGAGCTGCTCTGTGGAGTGTGAAACCGATACTCGGCCCCCCGAGGTCGCCGTCATAATCCTGCCCGAACAGCTGAGATTTAAAACCACGCTGTTTTCACTGCTCTGTGCTCGCACTGTGTCCAAAATGTTGTCTGAATTTGTCCTGACGACGGTCTCGCCTCCTCCTTTGTAGGGCAGCGTGAGGCCGAGGAGTCCCGCCGGGATCTGAGGGGGAGGAATTCGGCGTCCCGGCGGCGTGGACGGACCCCCGACTCGGATCCTGAAGGGACCAGCTGTCGGGCTTCACGTGGACCAACACATCACCTCTGCGGGCTTTTTTGGCGCTTCTGATTGGATGTCACCTCAGTTCATCCGTCAGAAACGAGGGGGAAGTTTTCAGAAAGCTGCGGAGGAGGGCGGATTGCTGAAAGGAGTCCAGAGGAGACTTTTGGAGAATTTAAATGGATGTTTGCTGCGGTTGAGACATCGAGGAAGAGTTCATCTGTAGTCCTGTGGAATAAGAGTGTGGGATTCACACACATTTCCATCTAAATGAGGCGCAGCCTGCAGAGGAGGAACCTTCTGAAACATCTGGACGGATATAAAACACCATTCAGGGACTGATTTTTCATTTAGGTTGAAATATTCGATTCTTATTCAGACTCTTTTGCTGAATTTGCTGCCTTGGCACGCCAACTCTGCCGTTTCCAGACACATAATTTGTCTTACACTGTCATTAATTTACCCCATTATTAATTAGAAACGCATGTGATTGTAGGTTTTATTGAAGATGCTGCTTCTTAATGACTTCCAGCCTTCCTACCCCAAGACTGTAACTGCCTCCTGCTGAACATTCAGACATGCTGTGCTCTGGAACCGCCACGGCCTCGACCGGATCTCTGAAGCTGCCATTTTTAACTCGGTCTTGACGCCAGAAGCAATTTTAATGTCTGCTTAGATTTGAAAGAGCTGCCATCTTGGAACAAAACCTTCCATCAGCACAGTAATTATTTTTCAGATTTTTGTCAGTATTCAAGCTAACTGGCGCCGTATTTAACCACCAAATGTGCCACCGTTTGTGAGTCCTCCTTCGGTCCCGCCCCTCCGAGCTCCTCTCTTCCGGCCCCGTCACCGCCATGGTGATGTCGCAGGGCACCTACACCTTCCTGGCCTGTTTCGCCGGCTTCTGGTTGGTCTGGGCGCTCATCGTCATGCTCTGCTGTTTCTGCAGCTTCCTGCAGCGTCGGCTGAAGCGCCGCCGCGAGGAGAGGCTCAGGGAGCAGTGTCTGCGGACCGTGGAGATGGAGCCGCTCAGCTGTCACGGCGCCGGATATCCACCGCCGCCGCCGCCACCACCGCCGCCTCCACAACTGCCCAGAGAGCCGCCTCAGTTCTGCCCCCCGCAGGCACTTTCACCGCCGCCGCTTCCTCTGCAGGTTCCTCATCCGATGCCACAGGCGACCTGGGTCAGCATGCCAGGTAATGTGGACTCTGCTGGGCTTAGTTCCCTCTGAGCTTAGTCCTGACTTAATGTTTGGGTGTTTATGTCACACTGAGAGTCATTTTGGTCAAACTTCTAGGATTTTTTGGCAGATTTGGGGAGATTTTCGACCATTTTGAGTCATTTTGGACAGATTTAGAGTTATTTAGGATGAATGTTGATTCATTTTGTTCATATCTAGAGTCATGGACTCTTATTTTGGAGAATTTTAGTCATTTTTGACCATTTTTGAGTCATTATGGTGAAAATTTGGTAATTTAAGACAAATGTTAGGCTGTCGTAGTCATTTTAGACAAATCTTTAGGAAATTTGGACAAATTTTGGACAATTTTCAAGTCGTTTAGGACAAACGTTGAGTTGTTTTAGTTGAATTCTGAGTTATTTTGGACAATTCCTTCAGAGTTTAGTCCTGATTTAGTGTTTGGGAGTTTATTTCATACTCAAGTTTTGACTCATTTTGGTCAAACTTTTAAGAATTCTTGGCAGATTTTGGATAATTTTGAACAATTTTGAGTCATTTGGACAGACTTGGAGTTATTTAGAACAGATGTTGATTCATTTTGTTCAGATTTAGAGACATGGGCACTTATTCTGGAGAAATTTTGTCATTTTTGAGTCGTTATGGTCAAATCTGAGTAATTTAAGACAAATGTTAAGTCATTGTGGTCAAATTTTGAGTCATGTTGGACAAACCTTATGTAGTATTGTTCAGTTCTTAAGTCATTTTGGACAAATGTTGAGTCGTTTTGAGAGAATTTTAAGCAATTTTTGTCAAATTTTGAGTCGTTTTGGACAAATTGTTCGTAAGTTTCTGCAGTTTTTGACAAAAAATTGAGGCATTTTAGCGTTTAAAATGATACCGGACAATTTTAAAGAACTCCACGACTTCGTTTAAGGAATACGATGAGTCATTTTGGACACCTTTCAAGTAATTTAGGACAAATGTTGAGCTGTTTTAGGAGGATTTTCAGTCATTTTGAACAACTTTTGAATTATTTAAGACGAATGTTGGTTCGTTTTTAAAATATCTAGAGTCACAGATACTTATTTTAGAGAACTTTAATCATTTTTTAATCATTTTTGAGTCATTGTGGTTAAAGTTGAGTCATTTTGGACAAACCTTTCGGAATATTGGACAAATTTTGGATCATTTTGGACAATTTTCACGTCATTTAAGAAGAATTCTGAGTTGTTTTGGTAGAATTTAGTCATTTTTTGTCAAACTGGGAGTCATTTTGTTCATATTTAGAGTCATGGACAAAACTTTGAGTAATTTTTGACATTTGTTTTGATCATTATCGACAAATCATTAGTAACTTTAATCATAATTTTAGTTGTTTTGGACAAACCAAAAGTAATTTTCTTCCATTTTTAAAGACAAATGAGCCACTTTGGACCATGTTGGAGTCATTTTGGTCAAACCTGTAAATGAGGTGAACTAGTCCAGAACCAGAACCACCAGCTGCCTCTGACTGCACACGTTGGGCTCCAGCAGCGCTTTGAACTGTTGAAACACAGCGGAGAGGATTTAAATCCACAGTCGGATCATTCGCTGCTGCATCCATCAGTCTCGACAACGAACGGCAGGTTTCCTCGGCGGCACAACGTTGCTCACGTCTCTGCTTCTGCCGACCAACACGAACCCGTTCGCTTGTCGTTCCATTCGGTCGTTGTGCGAGCAGTTCACGGAGGCCGAGGACGATTATATCACCACATCTTTTCTGTTTTTTAAGCTCTTTGCCTTCCTGGATTCCACCTCCCCGCCAGGCGTCATGGTGACAGCTATGTAGGCGAAGAAACGGCCGAAAAAGAGTCAGAACCAAGAGCAGAAACCAGTCGGTTCCACATGTGGACGCGGTGAAGCAATGCGACAGGATTTAACCCTCTGAACCACGTTTTCACTCACTGTGGGTTCATTTTTCACAGCGATAGAAAGTCCTGCACCTCAGTGGAAACAGAACAACCGTGATTAGAAGCAGAGAGACTCAGAAATGACATCCTAAAGAAAAAAAGACCCAACCTATTATAACGACACGACCGACTATAAGAGCCACAAACTGTAACTTCCTGACGGTCATTAAACTAATCGTCTGTGACCTGCTGTTCCATCAGAACAAAAAAAAGAACAAAGAACAAGCCGAGAACTGATATTTAAACAAAGTACCATTTATGTTGTTTTAATTCATAAGAAATAGATTCTAAACCACTGACTCAGCTCTGTCAAAAATTCTGTTTTTAAAAACAAAAATCAAAGAAATATATACATACATATATATATATATATAAGCTAGGTTTGAGTCATTGTTGATGCATTTTGAGTCATTCAGGACTAGTAATAATCCTTTTGGACACATTTTAGTTCATTTTGGACGAGTTTTAAGGGGCTGGGTTTAGTCATTTTTAAACCAATTTTAAACCATTTTGATTTATTGTGGGTAATGTTGGACATGTTTGAGTTAGTCTTCATACATTTTGAGTTATTTGGGACTGGTAAGAATTATTTTGTACAAATTTAGGAACATTTTTGAGTCATTTTGGACAAATTTCATTTTGATCTAGTTTTAGTTTTCAAATTTCGAGTCATTTTTGACAAGTTTGAGTCAGTTTGATCAATTGTGATTGATTTAGGACATGTTTTGAGTATTTTAGGCTAAGTTTGAGTCCTTGTTGATGCAGTTTTGAGTCATTCTGGCCAAATTTCAAGTCTTTTTTTTTTCCAAATTTGGAGTCATTTTTGAAAAGTTTAAGTCATTTTGATTAAGGGTGAGTATTTTAGGACACGTTTTGAGTATTTTAGGCTAGGTTTGAGTCCTTGTTGATGCATTTTGAGTCATTCAGGACAAATAATAATCCTTTTGAACACATTTTAGGTCATTTTGGATGAGTTTTAAGCCATTTTGGGTCAATTTTAGTCATTTTTGGACCAGTTTTGACTAATTTTGTACAAGTTCTATAAAATAAATAGTCAAAAACACTCCTGTTATCCAAGCTGTTTCCTGCTGAATTATAACCATTTCTGAGTTCTCTCTCCTTCTTCGTGGTTGTTCAGTTTCCACTGAGGTGAAGGACTTTATGTTGCAGTAAAAAATGAGCCACAGTGAGTTAAAACAATGTGACAGGAGCAAAAAAACAAAAACAAAACAGAAGCTGCTTAGAAGGTTCAGTTCTTCTACCCATGAATCGAGCCTTAACTTTCTGGAGAGATTCTGTATTTGGTGGAGAGAAAACGTGGAAACTGACCGTGTCGTGATTTGACTTTGTACCATCAGTGTTTCCTTCAGAAGCATCTTTTCACCGTCATTCAACCGAAAAGGATGATTTTGATGATTCAGAAGCTTTAAATGCTCCCAAAAATGATACATGAAGGTTTTACTGTCAGATAAAACTCTGCATTGCCGGCGCTCGCCTTCTTTTTTTTTTTTTTTTCCAGCCTAAACCTTCAGTCCGACACTTTCTATGGAAATTCATTCATGAGTTTTGGGCAGATTCTGCTTCATCCTCCCGGCAGACGTAAACACACCTTTCAGGTATTCAGGCTGCAGCTCACAAAGCCAGAAACGCACTTTCACAAAGCGTCTGAAGTGTAAAGATGCTGGAAATGGAGGGAGGAAGTGCAAATGCAGCAGCGGCGGCAGCATAATGAGGAAGCAGTTTTTATACAGCAGGAGACGCTCCGGCTGGTTGCATTTAACCAGTTTGTTTAAAGCGTAGATTTGTTTGTTTGCTGGATCAGGTGAGATTTTGCAGATATTTGTGTTGAGTCCGAATGTTCAGAGAAAGAACGAACAAGTGCAGCCAGAGGAGCAGAGCAATGAAGGAAAAGGGGATTGGTGCGGAGAAAAAGAGCATCAGCTGCTGTCAGCGATGGTTAATGAGCAGCGACAGACGAAACAAAAGCTCGCTGGAGTCTCGGTCACGAAGCAGACTGATGGAGAGCTCCAGTTTCCAGGGGAGGCAGCTGCCGGCCGGCTGAGCTGGACGGATCCGAGCCAGGAGCTGCTCAGAGCCGCAGGCTTCATTAACAAGTGCACATTTGCAGAATTATTGCTTTTAATGAGCGGAGAAAAAAGAGAAGAAGAAAAAACACCAGTAAAGACCAGACAGAGGAGAGAGGGTGGAAAAACGCAGCAGCTACAGATGTTCTCATGAAGAGATGGAGACAAAACAAGAACTGAAGTCAAAGATTTACCTGTAAAGTAATAGAATAGAAAGAACAGGCAGCTCAGATCCAGACCTCTAGTCTCAGTAAAAAGATGGAAAAAACTTTTTTTTAAAAGTACCAAACAGTAACAGGACATTTACTGGATTTTAATGCTGACGATTGTAAAAAACAAACAAAAAAACAAACAACAACAAAAAGAAACAAAAAAACAGGAAATATTCTCTTATTTAAACGTGTATCTATAGTGAAAAAACAAGACTTTTTAAAGTTAAATTATTAGTGTACAGTTGTAAAAGAAAACGTGACATTTTCCTGTTATTTCATCATAAATCTATAACTAAAAAAAATAGATGCTTGCTGGTGTTTAATGGTTTATGAAAGGCGAAAAGTGGAACTCTTTGTTATTTAATGATTTATCTACAGTATTAAAACTACAAATGTTTAATAAATCATAAAACAACAGATCATTTGTCAGAAAAAAAAAGGAAATTTAATTTTAATCAATTTTAATGACCAGTGTTTCTACAGTAACAGGACATTTCCTGTATCGTGATGCTAAATCTGTTGTGGAAAAAAATAATTTAAAAGGTGAAAGAGATTTTTAAAGATAAATAATAATTTGCCAGCACATAAAGAAACATGTAATTTTCCTGGTATTTAATAATACATTATAATAAAAAATGATAATTGTAGTATTTATTAGTTTGTAGTTTGTAGTATTTATTTATTTATTATTATTATTTAATAGTATTTATTGGTGTATTTATAGTGATTTTTTTTTTCTAAATTATACATCTACAATGTAAAAATAGAAAA